CGGTGGTAGGAGAAGCGTCAGAATTGAGGGCTTACCTGTCGGGCTGCTCCGTCTATTGGTGGGGAGCGGCACGGGCATGCTAGTCTTCTCTGTATCGTTCCAATTTTATCGGGAGGACGGAACGGAAGACTTGCTTGCGGGGAGGACAAGCCGATGGGGGTAGTTGAGGCAAAAAAATTGTGCACTGAGGAAGATCGGATGGAGTGGAAGGACCTTTCAACAACGCCGACCAGAGTGATGGATGAAGTAAAGTGTAGCGAAGCGGCATGCACAAAGACAATGGATGAAAAGAATGGGTTCGGACCCCTTTCTGCAGCAGCCTCCCCCTGAAGTCTGTGCCCAGAAATAGAGTAGTCTGGACTACTCTGTAGTGATAATATGGCCTCAGGGAGGGAAAGCTACTCTCCACTTCTCCCAGCCGAATGTTCGAAGCAGGTTCAACGTATGCGTCGAATCTTGCTTTGCTTTGAAAAAGTTACTCCGCGAGGGTGATAATGCAAATGGAGGGAGCACTAGCGAGTGTGTGTGTGTCAACGGCAGAGGGGTACCGAAGGGTGGGACATTGTGTATGGACAGTGTGGGCCATTCATTTACAGGCCAGTGACAGATGCTTGCGTTTTGCAAAACTGCTTGTGACATATTCCGCTTTTCAAAACTGACGACAGAATTACTCGAAACTACCGTCTTCCCCCGAACATAACGCACCCTAAAAATGAATGTATACAAGCTATATTTCCGGCCAGATGTAGCCTACATGAGGGTGTGTTGTGTTGTGTTCCGGCCAGATGTATACAAGCTATATTTTCGGCAGTTCCCCCAAAGCATTTAATTACTGAAAGATGGGCAACAACTGATACGACAATTTTTGCACAGAGATGGCTTCAATGAGAGTCTCTGGGGAGGAGGCTCAGGAGGGACATTGCAGAAACTTGGGAAGGAGAGGAGGGGGGCAGGTTAGACAAGCAAATGGGAAGGAAGAAGACAGGGGTATGGTAGAAGAAATGGATGGCGCGAAGATTACGAGATTGCATAAGAAACAACTGAGGTAAGGAGGAGTGAGTTCTCACAAATGGTTAACGGGGACCACCCAAACACCCCCCCCCAAAAAAAAAAAAAAAAAAAAAAAGAAGTTTCACGCCCTGGGTAACGATTCCAAAACTGAAATTAGGGTTTCGGGGTCAAAAAAATTTATGTTTTTTCAAAAAAAAAAAAAAAAAAAAATCAAAATTGCCTTGCTGTTTTATATGTTTTTAATGACGTTTTTTCGGATTTTTTGTTTCGCAGTTAGTTAGTATGGTCTCCACTCTATGAATTGGTGGTGGCAAGTTTGATTAAAATTTTTTAAAATGACCCTTTGGTTTTCTTATAAATGGCATCATGGCAAGTGGTCTGAAAATTAGGGTCTCCGTTAACCTTCTCTCGAGTTCTTTTTTTTTTTTTTTTTTTTTTTTTTTGAAACAGTCCCTCCAGTGCTAGCGATGCTGGTAAGAGCAGTCACCGCTAGCACCTGGGGATAGGCTCCATCTAAGCAGTCCGAATCTGGTCTTAACCTCGGGTTTGGTGACGGGTCATCCAGGGGGGGTTGGTTGGGGGGTATAAACAGTGAGTAAAGGGCCTAAAAGGTAAAAGGGTACATTGGAGAATTTTGGACTCATGTTTTTTTCTCATTTATTTTTATCTTGAAATTAACAAGGAAATTGAAGGAATTTCGAGGTGGCCCTCAGCCAAAAGTCGTTTGTAACTTTGTATTGCAATTTTACACAATATATTTGTTTTTTCGGATTTTTTTGATTTTTTTTTATTTTCTATTTTGCAAAATATTATGCGCTGGGATCGCCTGGGACCCTGCCCGGGCCCTGCCCGGTCCGGGCCGCCCGGGAGGGTACCCAGCCGACCTTCACCCAGCCGGGCCGCCCGGGGACTAACACAGGTAATTTTGTACCAAAGAAGAAGAAGCAACACACATCACGCAGAATGGTGATACCTGGACCCTCGCAGCAGAACAGAACCCTCTGGCCTGTTGCAAATACCCAAAATATATGGAGAGCTACCTTATACCGGGGGATATCATCCCCAAAAAACGTTGTCCTGCTTCATAGCACGATTTGTTATGATGTCTTACAACCACCCACCCACACACACACACACACACACACACACGCACGCACGCGCGCGCATGAGTGCCCGAGTGTGTGTTTTTCCATTCTATGGCACAGTTCCAAGTAAGGAACGCGCAGTTCCCGAACATGGTCCCGCACCACGATTCCCAGTCTGCGACCGGCGCCCGGATGAAAAAACTTGTAGTTTGCACAAATGAACTTCCAGTCAATGAGCTTAGCTTGAGTCAAGGGGTGATAAACAGAGTATTCCAACTCACTCACCTGGCTCTCACACGCACTTGCTGCTCTCGCCGATGGACTTTTTTCCTCCAAGTTTCACAGAGTTCATGAAGTGGTAAACCAGACTTCATTCCATTCCTTGTTTATTCCACCCGACTCTCGTCTCAGCCCATCTTCATTCGATCTCCTAATCATTCAGGAGTTAAGTGTCAATCAAACCAGGCCGCACAGTGCTGAGATCTTTTTGGCAATCCACAGCCACAAGCAAGGTACCCTTCAGCAAACCAAGATCTGACCGGATGAAAGTCTCTCGTAGCCCATGCAGCTCTGCCTAAATCCCTCCATACGACCATCGATTTGAGCTCGGATTCCCCTCCGAGCTTCCCTTATTGCTTGATCGCCGCCCTTCACCAAGCTCAGTCTTTTCAACACCATAACTTTATATATAACTTGTAGAGGGCTCAGAAGTCTGGCTAGCGCCCTTCTTAGTCCCATTCGTAGAGCGGTACAACACAGGAAGAAGTGTCCTTAACTCTCAAGTCCGCGACTTGCTTGGTTTCGCGGTCCAAGTCCGTCGATTTAGGCTCCTTCCCCTCTGCTGGTAAGTGAGAAGTGTGTGTGGTAGGTACTACGAGCCCTCTGCCCCATTCGAAAAGTGATTCGAATGGTTCACCGGTTCCGCCGTATGCTCTCTGGGTTCAATTGAGTCCGAGCTCGCATTCACAGCTTCCTTTGCTTTGGCATTGAGACGACTCGATGTGCTGTTTATTAACCAATCTCTCAAGTTCTCATCCTTAGTACCAACCGATTTCTCCCGCGATGCAAGGTTCTGGGTCTGGGTTGAATGGAGTCTGACAATCCGAGCTCACATTCACAGCTTCCTTTGCTTTGGCATTGAGACGACTCGATGTCCTGTTTATTAACCAATCTCTCAAGTTCTCATCCTTAGTGCCAACCGATTTCTCCCGCGATGCAAGGGTTCTGGGTGCGCTGGCTCAAAACCACCTCCGCCGATTTCACTCCGCATGGCTAATTTGGCGAAAGCATTATGTACGGTCTGCTTCAAGTAAATGTCTAGGACCTGCACAGTATAATAATCAGAGAAGGCAGGTCCACGGCCAGCCCTAACTCATGCCACTCCACCGACAAACTCCCACCATCTACTGCGATTCCACTGACGCAGCAATCCCCCCCACTCGGTCTGATCAGCAGAGTCCAAAGACAAGGTGCTAGCTTGTAGTTCCGACTTGGGCACCGCATATGTTCTTCGCTCTTTTCTTTATGTTTGTGCACGCTGACAGGTGGAGAAGGGTGGGGAGGGAGTGGGTCAGTGAGCGAAAGAACGTACCGATCAGCTGATGCGTTATTGATGTTTCAACCAGCATGGCACTCGCTTGCAAATCAGGAACACGATGCACTTGCAGATCAGGACCCTCCTGCCGTGTGTGGCATGATGAGTCTGCAGCAGACAAAAGATACCATGAGAACCTCTCGGTATGGCAAGACAACGCTTCCGCAGACCCTGCGGCAAACCATCCTGCCAAAATGCTGCTCACCCTCATGCAGATCCTCCTAGTTCTCGAAGGGATACCGGTCCTCCTCCATATCCGGTGGCCATCCTGCACACCACTGTACTCCAGACGATATTGCAGAAAAGCTGCAGACCTTCCAGCAGAAATGCAAAGGCACCGCAGTCCCTAAACCTAATCAGAAGGCGTTAGAGCAACTGCTGGTAGAGTCTCAGCCTCTGCTGCCCACAAAAAGGAAGGGGCAAAAACAGGAGGAGAGTGGATAAGCAGCAGAGGTAAGTCGAAGGAGTGAAACCTCCCTCTCTCTCTCTCTCTCTCTCTCTCTCTCTCTCTCTCTCTCTCTCTCTCTCTCTCTCTCTCTCTCTCTCTCTCAATAATATCTACAAATAGAAAGAAGAAAAATCATCTCTTTTCAATTACACCTCAAAATAGAAAGAAGAAAAATCATCTCTTTTCAATTATATCTCAAAATAGAAAGAAGAAAAATCATCTCTCAAACAAAGCTCATTCCAATCATCTGATACGAGCCTCATAATCTCACTGGGTGCTGGAACTTCATCTCTCTCTCTCTCTCTCTCTCTCTCTCTCTCTCTCTCTCTCTCTCTCTCTCTCTCTCTCTCTCTCTCTCTCTCTCTCTCTCTCTCCTGAGGCTTCAGATGATATTGTCGACCAGAACATCCGTAAATGATAATTTCTTATCCATACAGGGTCCTGGCATCCTGCAGTACAGTGAGACCAGGAGAATAACCTGCATGGCATGCGGTCTTGAATCTTGCTAACATGTTTCTCCGGATCCACTAGCCAGCAGGTGACCTCCAATCTGTAGACGACCAACTGAATGATGGCTGCCGCAGATGTCTGAAGACGGCTTCGACAGAACAGGCAATGTGAAATTGGCAGCGAATATGTCTTCTGAACTTTTTTTAAAATATCCGCCGGCTTTGACAAGGCTTTGACAAGGCTGTAATCTGCCGCAGATTACACATCATCGCAGAAGCAAACTCTGATGTCGTCTTCTCTCCGTATTACAAAAGGGGCCTAGGGCGTACTCGCACTTAGACATTCCAGTACATATCTTCCGGCCGGATACAGTCCAGAGAGCCTCGGTGTGAGTATATGATATGCCCTGAGGGCATACTTGCACAAGGACGTGTTTGACGGAATTTGGCTGGAAGACATTCAGGAGAGTCCAACTTTGAGTACGCTATTCTGGCATGCCATTCGCGTAGCTGTTTAATCGGAATTTGCTTATTGCACCAACCTCTGCTCATATATATATATGTACATAAATGAGCAGAAGTTGCAATGCAAACTGCAAATGGCCAAAAAAATTACATTAGCAGAAGTTGCAATGCAAACTGCAAATGGCCAAAAAAATTACATTAGAGACTTCTTCGAGCTAGGCAACTCGTCAACAGAGAGGATGGTACGCCTAATGCTGTTGACGAGTGATTCAACAAATGCTGCTGAGCAGAAGAGAATGCTTGCGGATAATTACACAGAGGGAAATGAAAAGATCAGCGACAATGTGATTCCGAGAAGAGCAGGAGATGAGAATGCACCAGACGGAAGCGAAGAGCAGGAAGCAGAGAAAAGGAACGCGCAGATATACAAAGGACCTTGCACAAACTCTTTTCCACAACAATGGAGCTACAACGATGGGGAGAACCTGGACGGATTCCTCGCCAAGCTGCCAAGAGATAGTCACCTGAACGGGGTTCCTTGCCAAGAACTGATGATGATTCATGAAAAGTGGGTGCAATTCAAAAGGCAGAGGGCGAGGCAGGGAGTCTGTGTGTGTGTGTGTGTGTGTGTGTGGGGGGAGAGAGAGAGAGAGAGAGAGAGAGAG